CAAACATGGCGTCGCCCTCGTCATTCGGCGATCGAGTCAGAATTAACCATCGGGAATCTGGATAAACTACAGGGATAATTGCTATTATTATCAAAAGAACAGTCTAATATACTGAAAATCAGTGTCTACCTGTGACGTAGCTAAGGCATTTTATAAGTTTTGGCAACTTTGGAGATATAAATTTCGAAACAATTTTCTGAGGGCGCGAGGCCTAGCCAAGCGGGATCAGTAGAAATGTCTGTGCTTGTAGACCTCTGCAGCTTGAAACCTTCTCCTAAATATAAAATAGTTAGATTTGTCCGAAATATTTTTGAATTGTTACCTTGTTTCGTTTTGTCGCTGTGTGTACATCTGACTATACTTCTTAACGTTATGACAGGACAGACCGACTGTCAACAACGTCTGACCGTGGCCGTGACGTCTCATAGACTAGGGTTAGAATAGCTTCCATTGACAAAGGGCAGTTACTCTAGCGAAAAGACCGATGGATTGCCGCGAAAGGCAATTAAGAACAACTGTTTTTTTGCGTATATGTTGCTTTGCCACTGTATAAGAAACAGATTTCAGTTGGGGACTATATTGGCTACTGTCACTGTCCGACTGACACATCACTTACCCTGTGACGTAATAAATATTAATGCGCGCATTCCAGGAAAACTCGCGATGTTTAGGTAATGTTTGTGAGAGAGGGGAAGCGATTTTAAAGCACGGAATTAAAGAATTACATTATATAATAAAGAGCTTATCACGCTTGTGTGTTTGGGGATGGTAAATATCCTGTATTAGGAATAAACACTATCATACATCATACATACTGACATACTTACGGGGCGAGTGCTTCTTTTCGCGAACACCTGGTGTCATCACCGATTTTCAGCGATCCTTTCAATGGAAGCTGAATCGACGGATAAACAAATAACTAATTTTTCTCTGACGTTGACGTTGATGTTCAAATTGATAAAAAACGACAACAACTTGAATACACCAGATACATGGTTCCTGTTAAAGCCGTCTTCTTATTCGTCACATTTTTCAAAATATTAATAATGTGACGATTAATAATGCAGCATACTCAAACCCTAAAGCTCAAACTGCTATATTGTTACACCGAAAACCTGGTCCACTGCTCCTGCTACCACTGCTACTGTGGATCAGTGCGCACGCGAATTCCATTCTCAGCTCTCAGGGAGTAGTGAGTGAGTGAGTATTGTTTTACGCCGATTTTAGCAAAAGTCGGCAGGGGGACACCAGAAATGGGCTTCACACATTGTACCAATGTCGAATCGTACCGGGTCTTCGGCGGACGAGCGAATGCTTTAACCACTAGGCTACCCGACCGCCCCTTCCCTAAGGAGTAGACAACCCATGTGCATCTGAGGCGCTAGACGGTTAAGAGTCGCATTACCATCTCATTCTACCGGGTACCCGTAAACTGCTAGGGACCTGAAGGCATATTCCGAACACAATCACATTTCTAAAGAGACGCCACATGTAACAATATTCCATTCGGACTTTGAGTGTTAATAGAAATAAACACGTACAATATGCGACGTGTACTTATCACTCGTTTTACGCTTTTTGATACAGATCGTTTTGATGCAATCCACTGTAAAATACGTTGATATATATCTGGAAATGCATGTATCATAAACATTCATCGCGTCTGCTGCAGCTTAATTGCAGCTATCTGTTATATTGCAAATTGGTAACCTTAGAAATGTACACGTGGGTATCCGTCAACAGCTGGCTATTATTGTTTCGCGAGAACATAGATGCCGATAAATCGCTATAAATAATCTACAGGAAACACTATTTCTTCATGGCAGACAGTATACTAAACATCTCTCAAATTAAAATGATAAATGGCAAACATTGTCCTATATGAATGAACAATATAAAATAGCAAATGTCATATCTATCTTATTATATTACTTCATGTACATATACGTTGATGCCGTTGCATAGCTTTCTATTAGGGACACGAGTGACACAGTCGTCTATTGCACCACAGTACACTGTGCAGAGTTGCGTCCCTTAGGCGTGCCAGAGAGCTATGGCTGTGGGTTCGAATACCAAATTCGTTCTAGTCATGTTTCTAAGTTTGTCACTACCATATTCGTGTTCACGAAATTCACCAAAGTGGTAAACGTCTAAGATTTCGAACTTATAAGTCGTCATAAAACTGAAATATTATTCAAAGTGACGTCACTCACTCACTCACTCTACGTCAACATCTACATTAACATGATATTACTCACGTTAAATATTTCACAGACGATGAATCATTTTGATATGTATCTCAAAATTATTTCGAGTCATCAATACATCTAAACGTGTTGCATGTATTTTGTTAAAACGTGTAGTGTTCACATATCATTCATTGATTTTAATTAAACACGTTATTCATCATGGGAAAAAAATATTTATCGATTCATATTCACCACAATTCCATTCCAAGCTTCCATAATAACTTATTTTTAACAAGTCTAATGTGTTCCATATTGCTATCCTGCTGTGAGATAACATATTTCAGATTTTTCAATATATGAATGTTTTTGTTTTAATTGATTAAACTGCCGAAGGTTATCACGTCACAATAGTACAATATTCTTTGCCCTGATCACAGCAGCTGCACGCTGCACGCTGCTGTGAGTAATGTATAAGGCCATTATTCTTCATATCCGGTATTCTACAGACGCCTTCGTGGTCTAGTGGTAGAGCGTCCGCCCAGAGAGCGGAAGGTACGCGGTTCGATCCCCGGCCGCGTCTTACAAAAATACTTTAGAAGATGGTACTTGTTGTTACCCTGTCTGGTGCCCGGCATTAAGGGCCTAAAACAAGGACTGGTCGGCTCGGAGTCAGTATACTGTGTGTGAGTGGGGTATTCAGGTTAAAATGCGGCATAGTATCTCAGTTGGCTTGCACTACAAAATCAGCATCAGTCCGGACTAGAACAAGCATCCACGTCGCTATATAAGTGCAATAATCTTGGACGCGACGTTAAACCCCATTTCAATCACAATCCCACAAACCCACAATCATAGGTTTCTGGCGTACCCAAGGGTTTCAACTCTGCACAGCGAATCGCGGCGCCTTAGATGCCTGGGCCATCCGTGCCCCCACTTCTCGAATGATTAAGCATGCCATGAGCGTCTGACAGGACTACATCACATCACACCTGACAGGACTACATCACATCACACCTGACAGGACTACATCACATCACACCTGACAGGACCACACCACGTCACACCTGACACGATTACATCACATCACACCTGACACGACTACATCACATCACACCTGACACGACTACACCACATCACACCTGACACGACTACATCACATCACACCTGACACGACTACACCACATCACACCTGACACGACTACATCATCACAAGGAGTAACCGCGGATGTTCTTCATCTACACAGTTCCCATATCCCCTTTGGTGTTTGTACAATTACGTGTTATTCTATATCCATCTATACAGAGAACAACGTTATTAGATCTATTCCTTTTTTCAATCAACGTGAAGTATTTATAAATGACGAATGCATGCGTACAACGAAAACAGCAATCTAGCGATATCTGACGATCTTGAAAATTCAATATTTCCACTTAAAAGTCAACTGATTGAATTTCCATATCTAAATTCTGAAATTGTGCGACAGAAAGACATTGATGAATATCAAAATGAGGGGGGATCAGATTGAGATCAGGGCATCAGGAAAAGACAGCGTAGTTTCATTTCCTCATTCAGCATCCCCGTAACATTACAATCCCCCCTTGATTGCGGCGACCAATATCACAATATCTAAATCCAGGTCACATCCGGATATAGAAAACTTTGAATTAGTGGTAACCTTGACACTGAATATAAACCGAGAAATGGTTCCAATATTGGTAAGCTGACCCGGGATGCTCGAGCTCTGTAGGTGTCGAGTGTGTTAGCCGCTAGATCAGCTGGCGATACTTGCGCCAAACTAGGCCGTGTTTTAATCAGAGCAATGAGATGGTCAGTGGTCAGTTCATATAAGACAACGATATTTGTCTCTCTCGCGTACAGAAGGTTTGATAACAGGTTTCAAGTTTCAGTTAAATACACATCCCTACGATACAAGTTCAATAGAAAATAAAGGCCAATACTCGTAAATGAGTCGTCCATTTTTCTTTCCTTAACATGTTTTAGATTTTTTTGAATATCTTTGATTTGCTATAAACAAACATAAATAACGTCAACGTCAGAAAATAATTAGTCTCGTTTATCTGCCAAACAAAATAGTAGTGAAAAGTATTAAATAGATCACTGAAGATCAGTGTCGACACCAGGTGTTCACAAAAAAGGTACACGAGTAACAACTCATGCTGCAATCAACGGCATTGTCTACCCATTAAGAGAGAATGGTATGGTCTCAAACGCTGCACAGTATCTCGGTTCGCCCCGATTATGTTTCTAGGTTTGTCAGCACCATACCCGTGCTCGTGGTTTCACCAAAGTGGTAAGCGTCTGAGACATGCATCACTCGGGCGTCCCTCCCACATAAAGGTGACATGTCGTTATATAACTGGAATACTGTTCAAAGCGGCGTTAAACCCAATTCACGCACTCACTCGTGAAGACCCGGGGTGGAATAGGTCTTTAGCAACCCATGCTTGCCGTAAAAGGCGACTTTGCTTGTCGTAAGAGGCGACTAACGGGATCGGGTGGTCAGGCTCGCTGACTTGGTTGATGCATGTCATCCATCCCAATTGCGTGGATCGATGTTCATGATATTAATCACTGGATTGTCTGGTCCAGACTCGATTATTTACAGACCGCCGTCATATAGCTGGAATATTGCTGAGTGCGGCGTTAAACAACTAACCAGGCAACCAACCAATCACTCACATCCTTTGAGATAACTGAAGCATTGATCGTCTCTATCTCACTGTTACATGTTCCTTCTTGTTAACAGGTACCCCTGGTTTGCCGAATTGGGTCTGCGGTGGTACGGTCTCCCCGCCGTGTCGGCCATCTTGTTTGACTGTGGGGGTCTAGAGTTCACCGCGGCCCCCTTCAATGGCTGGTATACGGGGACAGAGATCGGGGCGAGAGATTTTTGTGACGTGTCCCGCTACAACATCACCGAGGTAGAACAACCACGTTAGATGTGCTTACATACCGATGTTACTTATATGTGTTTAAATTGATTACATGACGTTGAATGGGATTACATTGCTTGTACTTAGCTAGATGTTGTTAGAGTGCTCGTACGAAGCTAGATGAGGTTGCATGGCTTGTACGTCGTTAGATATGGTTACATTGCTTTACAGCGGTAGATGTAATTACATTGCTTGTACGAAGCTAGATGTAGTTGCATTGCTATTTCTTAGCTAGGTGTTGGTACATTGCTTGCACAAAGCTAGATGTGGTTACGATGCTTGTACGAAGGTAGATGTGACTACAAAACTTGTACGAAGCTAGATGTGGTTACATTGCCTGTACGAAGCTAGATGACATTGCATTTCCTGTACGGTGGTAGATATGGTTACATTGCTTTCTGTACAGCGGTAGATGTAGTTACATTGATAAGGTTACATTGCTTGTACGGTGATAGATATGGTTACATATCATGTACGGTGCTTAAATACCCTCCCTCCCCCAGATAGTGCTTACGTTGCGCAATATACTTGGCATATAACAAACCTATTCGTGTTTTGTTACAGTTATCAACGCAACGATAAAGATTAACGTCATAGTATAGTGTTATTTCCCAGACAAATATGAGTCATTTTAAGTTGAGTGAGAGGACTTAGCACCATATATCATAAAACATGCGTGTGTTTCATATGGTTTGGTTTCGTACGAAACATAGAAAAACACGACTGAAGATTCAGAAGTTATTGTATTCAAGGCGATATGACCCATATTACATTAAAATAAATAAATGTAGATTCGTGAGGTTACATTTCACTCTAAGTTTCAATATACAAAGTAAATATTCAGCAAAAGTAAAATGTGTTATTTGTCTGCAACTGTACCCATTTTGTAAGGTTGGCTGTTTTTTAAGTAACAAATCACGAAATTTATCTCTCACATTTATCTCTCTTTATATTCATACAAAAGGCAGTTGTATATGATATGAGTCTCGTCTTCAATCGATGGGCCTGCCCATGGGCCTACCCATGGGCCAGACTTTGCCCATGGGCAGGCCCATGGGCGACATAGTGTAAATATTGAGTTTTTGAACAATTTTTTTTTCATTTTTTCTTCCTTGGTATGTTCCCATGAAAACAGCATGTTTAATTTTGTAAATACCTTTAACCGAGACTGGGCAAAGACCGTAGAATTTCTGGACTTTTGGGTTTCCAGAATTAAAATGGGACGTGTTTAAATAAACACATCACAAAAGACCACCTACCTAAACCCGCCACCATTCCAACCTACAATTCCATACCTGAATACTTTGATCTAGACTCCATATCTGACTCCATGTCCAGCTCCCTCCCCGAACCCCCACCTCCCCCACCACGCCCCCAAGAAACAAACGCAAACAACTCTTTGCCATCCATAACCCCATCCCAGTTCCAGCCCCCCCCCCCCCCCCCCCCCCCCCACTACCCCCACCCCCATCCAGACCTCTTCCACCCTCTCCCCCTCCAACCACCCTCCAACGCCCCGCGCAGGCCAAACAATTCAACCGCCCCCAAAATGGCTCTGCTACCTACACCCCAACCCCCCACCGCCCTCAGCTCCATACCACATCCCCAACCCAAACCCTACCGGCTCGACCCCCCTTTAGACTATACCTCCCAGCAATCCAAATATAACTTTAAAAAGGCTGACTGGAAAACTTTCCATACACTCTGCAACCAAATAAACATCCACCATATCCATAACATAGACAATGACATTTTTAACTCAAACTTCACAAACACTATACATAAAATAGCCACACAATGCATTCCAACAGTCAAAACTTCACCCAATCACACTCCTGTCCCTGGGTGGAGCCCAGAAATTGAAAAATCCAGAAAACTTAGAAAAAAGCATTAAATAAAGCCAAGCGGGACATAACCAAACTCCCCCTGGCTAGAAATCTCAGAAACTCAACTAAACAACTCATAAGGGCAGCCAAAAGAAAACATTGGGAAACATTTACCAGCTCCTTGAAAATGGGGAAACAAAATACCAAAAATCTATGGAAAAAATTTAAGGCCATAAAGGGCACTTCAAAATCCTTCTCAGCCCCCTCTTTTCCTAATCTAAATACCGATAAAGAAAAGGCAAATGTCATGGCTGCTCACTTCTCGGCCACCAGCAGCTCTGCCAATCACACTCCCCACATGCAAAACACAATAAAAAAACCACCCCACATACACACACAGACCACCCCTCTCACACATGCCACTCAACAAAATAATCAACATTCATGAACTACAAACAGCCATCAATAACAAAAACACAGCCCGAGCCACAGGCCCAGACAACATCAGCTACACTATCCTTAATCACCTTCCCCCAAAAATTCAAAAACTACTTCTTCAACTTTTTAATCAAATTTGGACATCTGGCTCCCTCCCCCACTCATGGAAAACAGCCAAAGTGGTACCGGTTCTTAAACCAGGCAAGCCCCCACGAGAACCGGATTCCTATCGGCCCATCTCACTAACATCCCATATCTGTAAAATAATGGAATCCATTATAAATAATAGACTAAAATTCCAAATTACCTCCCAAAATCTGCTTAATGAGGACCAGAGTGGCTTTATGTCAAACCGACAAACTTTAGACCACGTTTTACATTTAGAACATGATGTTAAAACAGCACTCGCCCAGAAACAATACACTTTGGCCATTTTCATAGATTTCAGTAAAGCATTTGACATGGTTTGGCATCATGGCCTAATTCAAATACTTAAAGAAAAAGCCATAGATGGTAGAATACTAAATTTCATTCACTCTTTCTTAACAGACAGAAACATTACAGTAAAAACAAAAAACACTTTATCAGATCCGCATCATTTAAAAATGGCACCCCACAGGGAAGTATAATATCACCAACTCTCTTTAACTTCATGATTGACGACATTTTTCCGCCTATAACGAAAAACATAACCACTGCAAAATTTGCTGATGACATTTCCTTCTGGACGTCGTCAACATCTCTAAAACAAATCCAAAAAAGAATTCAACCCCTTCTTAATCACCTAGAACACTGGGCAGCCCAGTGGGGATTCCAAATTAACACTAAAAAAACCATCGGCCTACTATTCAAAAACAGACACATGCCAAATTGTCCACCCAAACTCACCTTAAACAATCAAAACATTATATTCAAAAAGGAAGCTAAATTTCTTGGAATCATCTTTGACCAACAACTAACATGGGCTCCCCATATTCATAACTTGGTCACATCTTGCCAAAAAGATCTAAATTTAATGAGAGCCATCAGCGGCTCTGATTGGGGCGCTGACTAACAAACATTACTTATTATATATAAATCACTTATTCAATCCAAATTAAACTATGCTGCTCCAGTCCTCAACTCCATCTCAGAAAAGCTTAACAAAAAACTTAACTCCATCCAGTACAAAGCCCTAAAAATAGCCCTGGGCACTAGAACCGGTACCGCACTAAACTCACTTCAGCTTATATCAGGGCCCAACAAAACCCTATTCTCAAACAAATTATTACCAAGTACAACAACCTTAGACCTGCCACCCTGAAGAAATTCAAAAACAATCACACCTTAGCCCCATACCTTACACACCTATACAAACTCATCAAAACACACAAACTTGAAAACATCAATGACCCCCCCTCCCCCCCACCCCACCCCCACCCCCCCGAAACAGACCTCACCCTCCACAAAACATTCACACTACACCCAGACATAAAAAACCGAGACAAAAAAGCAATAACCAACAACACTAAAACTGGCCAAATCATACCCATATCTATACCGATGCATCCCAAACAAACAACAATATAACAGGACTAGGCTTACAGATTACACAACCCACATCAATCACCACAAACTTCCACTATACAAACTATACACACATCAACACAGCTGAACTACTCGCCATCCAATGTGCTTATCACTACATAAAATTATCTAACGACACAAACTTTTTAATAATTTCAGACTCATTAGGCTCACTAACTCAGATCCACAACAAAAAATCCAAATCAAGGCAAGAATTATAAACAACATTATTGACATACATACAAGCATCACAGAAACAAACAAAACAACAACTCTCCTATGGGCACCTGCACACACTGGCATAACAGGCAACCAACTAGCAGACACAGCAGCAAAACTAGCCATTACCCAGCCATCCCCAAGCATTAAGTTCACCACCAGTAAAGCCGAGATCAAATCACTTATTAGAAAAAACACTTTATCTCAAAATTTCAAAATTATTATTCAAAATTGTAAATCCACATGGACAAAATCCCTCTTTAGTAAACCAATCACAAAGTGCCGCAAATCCACAAGGTCTGTTCTAACAGAAAAAATTATAAACAGAATGCTAAGCGGCCAAATGAACCTAAACGAAACACTCCATAAACAAAACAGACACCCACACCCAAACTGCTCTCACTGTAACATACCAGAAAATCTAGATCACATATTCAACCACTGCACACAATATAAACAACAACACAAGCACAACTATACAACTCCCTTCCCCCTCAGTTCAAAAACAATATTACATTACTACTAAACCCCTCTAATCACCCAGCTAAATTCTCCCATATAGCTACATTCCTTAAAACAAAAATCTCATAAGCAAACTTTAGAAAAATCCCAACAAATCACAGCATTAATACTATATACAAAATCCACCTGCCCAAGCTCAGTTCACACGCTCAAGGCCGCGACTTACCCCTCACTCCTGCCTCCCCCACCCCTGCCAATAAGCCCACTGTTTATTATAGTAGGTTTTCCATCCACCCGACATTTTAAAAAAAATGTATTATTAGATATTATTATATTGGCATATCAGCTTAACTGATTATATACCCTTTTAAGTCTATTTACTATTTGCTCCCCATAGAATAGGTTTCTTACAGCTCTACTACACTCCCACTAAGTTCTCTCTTCCCCTTCTACCCTCTTTACTGCATTTCTTTCTTCTTTATCCCCCCTAATTTACAGTTTTTTTGGGCCAGCCGATTACCTTCTTATTTCCCACTATTATTTATTATTGTTTAACCCGCCTGTTTAGTTGCGTTAGTGAGCAAATTGACTCACGGCAGCTAGTGAGCCCTAGCGGCCAGTGTCAGACAGCCCAGAAGAAGCCAGAGATTAGTGTCCCTTTAAATGATACCGTTAAGAAACCAAATGATCGTACCGGGCTTAACAGATGCACAAAGACCGATATCATGTGGTGGCATGAGTTTACTGAATGTTTTAACGTTGCGGAAAAAAATATTGAAAATGAATCGGTGCGCTCAGCAAAGTTCTCCACGGATGCCTGTAGTGATGGTGGCGCAGCATATTTTGGCCATGACTGGATCTATTGTAATTGGCATACAGATTTCCCATTTGTTGAACATTTACACATCAATGTCAAAGAGTTGTTCACTGTGTATTTAGCAGTCAAAGGCTGGTGTGTAACCCGGAAAGACAAACATATTGTTGACAATACATATACTATGCATATCTAAACAAACGCACTGGTCGTGACCGTGTATCCATGTGTTGGCTGCACGAGATAGCGAGATACTCCGACATTCCGCTGCATATAACATTAAACTATAAACCCACAGAGCAAGTGGCTGGACAGTGGCGACACCTGTGTCGCAAGATGCAGCAGTTTCGACGGGCAGCATATGCTGAACTGCTATGCGCACTTATTAACCCGGGATGTTGTTCACCTAGTAATCAAAGATAGAGTCGCGTCGTACAAATATTTGCCTTTGACCGGAATCGAACCGATATCTAAAGAGCAATCTATGGACTAGATCTATCATCCAAAAGCTTCATTGCCTAATCAATGTATTGAAAATCCGGGTAGTGAATAGGTCTTCAGGAAGTCACGTGAATATCATTCGCCTGGTTCATCATGAAGTGGGGTCACCTAATCCCTTGGATATGTCCAGAGTCTCTGATATGTCGCGTGGTCAGTACTTGATTGGCTATTACGTCATATATTAGATAGAATTGATACAAAAGCAGGTAGATAAAGACACTTAATGAATATATAAGGGGAGTGCTTACCTGGTTTTCGAGCGCAACTTCGCCATGTACCAGCGCCTCAATTTATGTGCTATTGCGCAACCGCTGTCTCGCTATACCATTATCGTGGATCACGCTCTAAATCACACGCACTCTTCTCATAGGCCTATCTAGAGTGCGAGCGCATTTGAGCGGGAGCCACGGTAATGGTATAGCGAGACAGCAGTTGCGCACTAGAGCCGTTGGCAGATGGCGAAGGTGCGCTTGGAAAACTGCATTGTCGCCCAGATGAGCACTGAACTTACATATGGATTATATATCTATACTGAACAGCATTGAAAAACGCACCAGCAATAAATCTTGAAATATTACAAAAACAACTTGTGCAATGATCGATTTCGATCAGAACAGACATAGACGGATTATTAAGAAAGACGACAAAGGAAACAGGAATACCACACAGTAATTACAATTACGTCATCAGTGTAAGGAAGACACATAGGGTTAAAATGAAAAGTCAAATCTGGTATGTCCGCCATTGACAGCAACACAGGCCATGCAATTCCTTGACAATTCAACACCCCTTTAAGATCACAGGGACCTGACATGCCTTGACAATTCAACACCCCTTTAAGATGTTAGGGAACTGATATGCCTTGGCGAACCAACACCCCTTTAAGATCTTAGGGAACTGACACGCCTTGGCGACCCAACAGCCCTTTAAGATCATAGGGAGCTGACATGTTTTGGCAACCCAACACCCCTTTAAGATCATAGGGAGCTGACATGTTTTGGCAACCCAACACCCCTTTAAGATGTTAGGGAACTGACACGCCTTGGCGACCCAACAACCCTTTAAGATCTTAGGGAACTGACACGCCTTGGCGACCCAACAGCCCTTTAAGATCATAGGGAGCTGACATGTTTTGGCAACCCAACACCCCTTTAAGATCATAGGGAGCTGACATGTTTTGGCAACCCAACACCCCTTTAAGATGTTAGGGAACTGACACGCCTTGGCGACCCAACAACCCTTTAAGATCTTAGGGAACTGACACGCCTTGGCAACCCAACACCCCTTTAAGATGTTAGGGAACTGACACGCCCTGGCAACCCAACACCCCTTTAAGATCTTAGGGACCTGACACGCCTTGGCGACCCAACAACCCTTTAAGATCATAGGGAACTGACATGTTTTGGCAACCCAACACCCCTTTAAGATCTCAGGGAACCGACACGCCCTGGCGACCCAACACCCCTTTAAGATGTTAGGGAACTGACACGCCTTGGCGACCCAACACCCCTTTAAGATGTTAGGGAACTGACACGCCCTGGCGACCCAACACCCCTTTAAGATGTTAGGGAACTGACACGCCTTGGCGACCCAACACCCCTTTAAGATCTTAGGGAACTGACACGCCTTGGCGACCCAACACCCCTTTAAGATGTTAGGGACCTGACACGCCTTGGCGACCCAACACCCTTTTAAGATGTTAGGGACCTGACACGCCTTGGCGACCCAACACCCCTTTAAGATGTTAGGGAACTGACACGCCTTGGCGACCCAACACCCCTTTAAGATGTTAGGGAACTGACACGCCCTGGCGACCCAACACCTCTATGTACAGTCAATTTGTCATCACGTCACAGGTGTCGCAGGTTAAGTTTTACTAATATGTTAATTATGTCACCAACTTGTTCCCATATCTAATATTGGCTTGAACAGGCCACCTTAACTGTGGTCTGTCAGGTACATCCTGGGCCCTGGCACATGCAGTCCCTGCAAATGATGTAGAGGCAGGTCACATGACTGTCCTCTATATAGACTGCATGTGTTAGGAACCCAGCACACACCATGCCGGACCACCAAGCCATATAGCATGTCGCTTTGTTATAATTGCAGGTATGTTGAATGGGTTGTGTGAATGCTCTTTTAATCTTTTTTTATTGAAATAGGTTCATTCTTGTGTGAATTATATTAGTCCAGATAACTGTTTTATTATTGAGATGAATATCAATAATATAGTAGATAACTGTTTAATTATTGAGATGAATATCAATAATATAGTAGATGACTGTTTAATTATTGAGATGAATATCAATAATATAGTAGATAACTGTTTAATTATTGAAATGAATATCAATAATATAGTAGTTAAAAACAACTACATGGTCAGCATGTGTTAGGAACCCAGGACACACCATGCCGGACCACCAAGCCATATAGCATGTCGCTTTGTTATAATTGCAGGACTCATCATAAATAAAACATCAGCCCAGAACGAGAACTTTGTTGTTCCTGTGACATTATGGCGCCCAACGTGGGGCTGATGTAGGAATGAAGACCACAGCTTGTGTGGCCGTGAATTCATCGTATCCCTGTGGTAGTAATCACAGCAGCTGCAGTCTCCGCATGGATGGAGCAATTCTTTTCTCGTGCTGAGATATTCAGTTGGAAGTGGTAGGGCCCGTACCCCATGGGGAAATTATGATTGACATCGCCGGCATCATGTGTACACTCGCGTTATCGCGTTCGCGTTCCTAAGTTGGTTGTTGTTGTTTTAGTTTTTTTCTTTTTGTGCCAGGACAATAACTTTCTGTTCACGGACTTCGCTGAGGTGCAAGTGACTTTATACTTTTCATTGTGTTTACTTGACATTGTGATGTCAGCATGTGACTTTGCATTACCTTTGCTAGATAATTTTGTCAGCATGTGACATTGTTCTAGTCGACAAAGTGAAGATTGTGTTTGTGTATGTTCATTCTTGATTATGAACCTAGCATCGCCATTTGAAATGTTTGTTGTTCGATTTTGTTATTGTTTTACTGTGAATTCCGTTTTTGGAATACCTTTGTGTGATTATTTGGTTAGCGTACTATAATCTGGGTGTTTAAAACAAATTCAGGTCGAAGTTTACTGTGAGTAAAAATGGAAAGAATGAATCTTTGACTGTATGGAAGGTTTATCTGCACTTCATTTTCACTCAATATCCCTTAACAAGTATTGCAATAATACTCACTGACACATTTTATATTGACTGATTCAAATTTAATGTCATTAATAATGACTTGTTTGTTTTCAGACAGCAGCTTGGTCCAGCATTTATAATTGTGAATTTCATGGATATATTTTTACTTCTAATGCTTGAGAAAGTCTTTGTTGTATTACTCTATTTGTTGATTACCAGTGCAGCCATGGCTACTGGTGGGAAAGAGGACTGGGAAGGCTTGAAGGAGGAAGAGGGGCACATTGGCCGTGAGGATCTCCAGAAAATGATCAGGTTTATGGAAACATATGGCTACCGTGTGCTTCCACCAAGTTCAACACCTCACCGGGTGGCAAGTCATTCCTTTTCTTCTTCACCTAGTACACATTATGTGCAGCCACCTCGTATTTCAACATTTTCTGGCAGTGATGCTAAGGGGGAATCATCCTTCGAGAGTTGGGTTTTTGAGGTCAAATGCTTCCTTAGAGATAGAGATTATCCCACTTCCATCCTAACTCAGGCTGTTCGGAAATCTCTTAAAGGGGAGGCTGGAAAAGTTGTTCTCTTACTTGGAGAATCTGCCTCAGTTGAGGAAATCTTGGCTAAACTGGATAGCATATATGGTGTCGTTAGTTCACACTTCTTCAGGATTTTTTCACTGATTGTCAGAAGGATAGTGAGTCCGTGGCAACGTGGGCTTGTAGGCTTGAGGACACATTGATGAAAGTTAAGATGAAGGGCGACTTCATAAATGAAGGATCCGGGGATTGCATTCTAAAGACAAAGTTTTGGAGTGGTTTAAAAAATGACAGGCTTAAGGATGCCACGCGTCACAAATTTGATGATTGTACACATTTTGATTCTCTGCTTCGTGTTCGAGAAACAGAACAAGAGCTCACTGGGTCTAATAGGGTTAAGGACTCTAAACAGAAGAAGCCTCAAGTTCATTCTCAGGTTGTTGATGCAGATATATCTCAATACTTGAAGGATATTATCAAGAGATTAGAGAACTTAGAGAAAAACCAGATAAGTTCAAATCAACATAAATCATCAAAATTGGAGAAGGATGTTGGGGAGATTGTAACTAGATTAACAAAACTTGAGTCCAAAGTTGGACAAGTTACTCAATCTGGTAGTAACTCAGGAAATTCTAGTTCACGTTGTAGTGGCCAGGGTCGTGGTAGAGGTATGGTCAGTAACCGGGCTTTAAACCAGTCTTGACTTCTGTTGAGGAGCAAACAGACGTCACTGATCATATTTCCAGCTCCAATGACTTGTAAGCCTGTTGTTGTGCAGGCTGAACACTCCCACCGTTTGTATGAGTGTAGGTGTATTGGTTTCAGTCAGGATGATGCGTGGTTTCAGTGAAGTGATTCATGGTTTCAGTGAAGTGATACATGGTTTCTGTGAGGGTGATGCGTGGTTTCTGTGAGGGTGATGCATGGTTTCTGTGAGGGTGATGCGTGGTTTCTGTGAGGTTGATGCATAGTTTCAGTGAGGGTGATGCGTGGTTTCTGTGAGGTTGATGCATGGCTTCAGCAAGGGTGATGCATGGTTTCATTGAGGGTGATGCGTGGTTTCAGTGAGGGTGATTCATGGTTTCTGTCAGGGTGATGCATGGTTTCAGTGAGGGTGATGCATGGTTTCTGTGAGGGTGATGCGTGGTTTCTGTAAGGATGATGCATGGTTTCTGTGAGGTTGATGCATGGTTTCAGTAAAGTTCTCGATAGTTTCTGATGTTTCCTCTTTCATCCAGGTGACTGAAATACTGTTCACTGTTGTAGTCCGTATTGGACCACCTCTTGATCACAGTAATAAGTATTGTGTTGGTATATGTAAAGATCACATAGTTTAATCCTATACTAATGCTTTGACTCAGTTAGTACAAACAATTGAAAAGATGATGAATTAACATAATGAATAAATTAACAGTGAAAACCTCCAAGAGTATACAAATGAAAAAGAAAATAGGACTATCTCACTCAGCCACACAATCCCTCAGCATACACCTATTGCTTAAATATGCATCACATGCCACATGCCTGCACACACTCACACTTTATGCTGAGTCACCATATGCCATGTGCCCGCAGATGTGTAAGGTAGTTAAACACAATCTGAGATTTGATCATGTTAATTCCGAACCCGTAGTGTGCCCCATCGTAGCTCATGATGCCGTCTGTCATGTTGAAGGTGTCCAGTATTGGTATCCCAGCTGCTCTGACATGGCTGTTGATGAAGGCGTTATATCTGACAACGCTGCTGTAACTCTGGCCTGGAACCCGTGGTGTTTTCAGTATTCCGGGAGCGTGGGGGGAAACCCACACCAGTTTCGGCCATACTGTCTTATTTTTTGCGTATTCGTGTAGAAGGTTGATTGATGGAGAAAGAAAGTTCTTCCAGACCAGCTGTTCATGATAGGTCCCGTGGATACCAATGCCCACAAAGAAAATAGACTTCTGGTTCTTTTTACTTTTCAGTAAGCTGAGTAATCTTGGGCCGTGATTGTGTGTTATGAGTCGAACATGGATGACGTTGGTCTGGCTGCCACACACGGGAGCGGCGTAGTTTAAGTAGGAGTCGCACAGTAGCTGCATCCAGCCTGAACAGTACTCCCGCCACCCTGAAACATACAGCACACTATAGTCTCAAACAACAGTGGGGAAACACACAGCACACTATAGTCACAAACAGCAGTGGGGAAACACAGCACACTATAGTCACAAACAACAGTGGGGAAACACACAGCACACTATGGTCACAAAGAGTAGTGGGGAAACACAGCACACTATAGTCACAAACAGTAGTGGGGAAACACAGCACACTATAGTCACAAACAGTAGTGGGGAAACACAGCACACTATGGTCACAAACAGTAGTGGGGGAACACAGCACACTATAGTCACAAACAGTAGTGGGGAAACACACAGCACACTATGGTCAGAAACAGTAGTGGGGAAACACACAGCACACTATAGTCACAAACAGTAGTGGGGAAACACACAGCACACTATAACAACAAACAGTAGTGGGGAAACACAGCACACTATAGTCACACACAGCAGTGGGGAAACACACAGCACACTATAGTCACAAACAGCAGTGGGGAAACACACAGCACACTATAGCCACAAACAGAAGCGGGGAAACACACACCACACTATAACAACAAACAGTAGTAGGGAAACACAGCACACTATAGTCACACACAGCAGTGGGGAAACACACAGCACACTATAGTCACAAACAGAAGCGGGGAAACACACACCACACTATAACAACAAACAGTAGTGGGGAAACACAGCACACTATAGTCACACACAGCAGTGGGGAAACACACAGCACACTATAGTAACAAACAGCAGTGGGGAAACACACAGAACACTATAGTCACAAACAGAAGCGGGGAAACACACCACACTATAACAACAAACAGTAGTAGGGAAAGACACAGCACACTATAGTATCAAACAGTAGTGGGGAAACACACAGCACACTATAGTCACAAACAGCAGTGGGGAAACACACAGCACACTATAGTCACAAACAGAAGCGGGGAAACACACACCACACTATAACAACAAACAGTAGTAGGGAAACACAGCACACTATAACAACAAACAGTAGTGGGGAAACACACAACGCACTATAGTCACAAACAGCAGTGGGGAATCACACAGCACACTATAGTCACAAACAGTAGTGGGGAAACACACAGCACACTATAGTCACAAACAGCAGTTGGGGAAAAAGCGCACTAAAATTACAAACAGCAGTGGGGAAACACACAACACACTATAATCATAAACAACAGTTGGGAAATACAGCACACTATAATCACAAACAGAAGTAGGGAAAGACAACATACTGTAGCCACACACAGCAGTGAGGAAAGACAGCATACTATAATCACAAACAGCAGTGGGGAAACACAGCACACTATAATCACAAACAGTAGTAACAGAACAGAACAGAAGTTTATTACTCGTGAATCGCGTATTGTTATATAGAGCATACAATATATATATTTATATTTACAGACGTGTATCAGTGTGCATAAACATAAAGTAATTACAAACATAGTATATACAGCAATTGAATTCTTATTTAAAAAGTTGTAAACCATCCTTTAAGTATTTCGCCAGCTTTATTACAAGAGGTTTGTAGGAGCAAACCATAAGCTGATTAAATTTTTCAATAGTGGGATACTTACAATAATAACTCGGGAGATATTTATTTCTTAATTCATGAAGCGATGGACATTGTAAAAGAAAGTTGAATTCGTCTCCAATATAACTGTTGCATAATCTCTGATCTTTATTAACACTGAACCATCTTCCCTTTTCAATTGGTAATCTGTGATTAGCTGATCTAAATTTGACTATCCACTTCGCTAAGTTGTATGGTAATGATAATAAATATTCCTCAAGGCGAGGCTTATCTTTGAACATGGTATAGTATTTACCCTTGGAAGATAAAGTAGCAGATTCATTCCATTTTTGATAAAAGTTATCTAACAAGATGGCTTTAGTATTTGCCTTTAACCAAGTTAAACTTGGGAAGGGCTGGGTGTCCCAAATCCAATTCAAACCAACCTTATACAAAATATCTCTTACTCTTGTTAACCATACAAAATGTATATTATTTGTGGAATTAATATGAAAAAGAAGTCGATACATTCTACTGGACAATGTTTCAGAATTTAATATGATCTTTCCCCAAAATGCAACCATTCTGACTTTTATTTGAATTTCTAGAGGATACCTTCCAAGCTCACCGTAAACCATGTAGTCAGGCGTGGATTGCTTTAATCTTAAGATAAATTTGCAAAATTTTAAGTGAACACGTTCTATAATTGTTACACTCTCATATCCCCAAATTTCAGCTGCATATAGAAGAATCGGTTGTACTAACTGGTCGAAGAGTTTAAGTTGACAATCAATTGAAATATCCAGCAATTGTGTCTTTCTGAAGATAGCGTACATTGCTTTTGAAGCTTGGTCTGATAATGTCTTCATCGCTTTACTAAATCTACCAGTGTTACTAAAAGTTATACCAAGATACGAAAATTCTTTCACAATATCTAACAGACTTTGTTGAAAATAAAATTGTAAATTTCTAGTATTGTGGCGTTTGGAAAAGACTATTACTTTTGTTTTTGAAATATTTACCTTAAGTTTCCATAATTCACAATACTCTTCAAAAGCATAAAGTGCTCTTTGCAATTCACATGCTGATTCAGCAAGCAATACTGTGTCATCAGCATATAACACAATAAAGAGCTTTACATATAAACTTAATTGCAAATCGAACTTTTCGCTTACATATTTTAAACCGGATACATCTTTATTTTCAAGGAACGTTTCTAGATCATTTAAGAAAAGGGCAAACAGGAACGGTGACAAGTTTTCACCCTGTCTCACGCCAATCTTACAAAAAAATAAAGAAGAGTTATTTCCTTCCAGGGAAACATATGATTTTATACCTTGATACATATTATATATAACATTAAAACACTTCCCACCAAGATTTGAGTTTAGCATTTTGAACCATAGACTGTTTCTATCAATAGTATCAAAAGCTTTACTAAAATCAATAAAAGCACAGTATAATTTCTTGTTCTGGTTTAAGTACAGTTCAATTAAGAGTTTTGATACAAAAATATTGTCAAGAGTTGAGTATTTCTTCCTGAAGCCGGTTTGGTTTTCCTTTATAAGATTGAGTCCGAGAAAGCTTGGAGGCGATCGGAGATTATTGAGGTGAATAACTTGCCGAGGCAGCTTACTATCGTTATGCCCCTATAGTTACCAGGGTCGCTTGGGTCACCTTTGTTTTTATATATGGGCTTTATTTCACCAATTAACCACCTGTCGGGTAGTGGGGGGAACACACAGCATACTACAATCACAAACAGTAGTTGGGAAACACTATAATCACAACAGTAGTGGGGAAACACAGCACACCATTATTACAAACAACAGTAGGGAAACACAGCACACTGTAATCACAAACAGCATTGGGGAAACTATTTTACATATGTCCTGGTTTGTATGTCCTTAGTGTACCTGTGTCCTCAGTGGACCTATGTTCTCAGTGTATCTGTGTCCTCAGTATGTAACTGTCCCTGTGTGACAGCATCCTCAGTCTACCAATGTCCTCAGTGTACCAGTGTTCTCAGGCTACCAATGTCCTCAGTGTACCAATGTCCTCAGTCTACCAATGTCCTCAGTGTACCCATGTTCTCAGTCTACCAATGTCCTCAGTGTACCAGTGTTCTCAGGCTACCAATGTCCTCAGTGTACCAATGTCCTCAGTCTACCAATGTCCTCAGTCTATCAATGTCCTCAGTGTACCAGTGTTCTCAGTCTACCCATGTCCTCAGTCTACCAATGTCCTCAGTCTACCAATGTCCTCAGTCTATAAATGTCCTCAGTCTGCAAATGTCCTCAGTCTGCAAATGTCCTCAGTCTACAAATGTCCTTAATGTACCCATGTCCTCCGTGTACCCATGTCCTGAGTGTGCCAATGTCCTCACTGTTCCAATATCCCTCGTCTACCAAAATTCCTCAATGTACCTATGTCCGCAGTGTACCAATGTCCTCAGGGTGTAAATGTCCCCGTGTACAAGCATCCCCAGTGCACTAATGTCCCAAGTGCACCAATATCCTGAGGACACCTCAATGTCCTCACAGTACTTTTTTTAAAGGACTTCTGAGCTACTTTACGTCAGATGTACCCCCTGCTAAATTTGGCATTCATGATAAGAATAATAGAAAACAACGGGCTGTATTGCCTTTTACATCAAATATGGAAACGTGGACCTATTGTGCGTAAAAGCCAAATAGCAATGAAAATTATATGAGTATATCGCTGAAGGTCTGTGATGACCCAAGGTGTTAGGAAAGTGTTAGCATGACCTACCCCACCTTGCACAAAAAGTGTGGGGTTGTAGCCTGACACCTTACAGCAGTGCCCCTATGATGTGGCGGCGGCAAGGGACGGGCCAGAATAGCGACAGCGCATTTACTTATTTTGTTGAAACCAAAGACGAATTTCTAGTATTATAAAAATCGGGGACCCAGCTCAAGTAATTGTATCATAGGCCAAAAGTTATGGCAACCGAAACATGCATCCAAAGGGTGTCCCAATGAACAATGGAATTTGTTTTATTGACAAGGCGTGACAGCACCCGGACATTTATATCACTTATTGGTCAGAACGGAAACAAGACACATTCAATGTAGGTCAAGTTGTATATTCAATGGAAGTATGATGGCTTGATGGTTATACACCTGCAGAATAGCTGTCACATTGCTGCTTTACACAACTTTTGTGGTAGGGCGACTAACGTGATCGGGTTGGCAGGCTCGCTTACTTGCTGACTTTGTTGATCATCGTATCCCAGTTGCGTAAAATCGACGCTCATGATGTCAATATTGCTGGAATAGAGCGGAATACGGCGCTAACAAACAAACAAACAAACCTGTTGGTGTTGTAGACTTTAGCGTGGAGTCCTTATAGTTGTCAGTGAGGATTTGGACAGTCACTGTGTACATCTGCCTCAAGAACGAGTCCCCGATGTAGTAGATAGTAGCCCCTTTAATTAGTTCACACGCTTCATCTTTGTTCAATATTGAGATCTGACAATTAGGGCTGGATGGTTTCCAATCAGCAAGTTCAGCATTAATAGGCCTGCGCATGTCAAAACAGTTCTCACACATACATTCCTTCACTGTCTTATACACGCACCTGTTGTTATAGCAACATGGTGTTGGACCAAACGGATCACACAGGGGTCGGAACCACAGAGCCTGGTGTTGTAGGCCTTTCAGAAAGTCAAAAGTTGTATTTCCACAAACACCATCGGGGCGTGCCAAGGTTGTTGGTACAAAATACTTTCCCCTTGAAGCTATCAAGAATCTTTCAACTTTCTCTCTTTCTTCAAACGTCGCACTCCTCGGTGTCCACGCTCCTCGCACCATTTCGTCCAAAACGTTTTTGCACTCGATCTGTGAACCATTTTGGAAGAGAAAACGAAAATAATTGTAGTTTTTAAAGTTAACATTCAGGATGGTAGTGAAGACAAGGAGTCCAGTCCCCACAGCGATGAGGAATGGCACATGACCCCTTCTCGGCATGACTTCAACACCGGCGATGCCCACTCTGTATGTGTCCTCGTGGAAGGTGGGTGGCTTAGTGGTGAAATCTTGATATCAGTTCAGTATGACAATGAAAGATTGTGTTAATATTTGGTAAACATAATCTGGCTCTGTCCACCGAAAAGGTCCACAGTTATTCCTTTTGTGCGTCACTGGAACAGAGAATTTATAATGATATATTTTAAAATAGTATCCCCTATAAGCGAGTTAAATAAAAAAGCATGCGGATTGTTGACGTAATGGTAACATCATTGTTGACTTGACGCTAACATCAATTTTTGACGTAATGCTAACACCATTGTTGACATAATGCTAAGTCTATTGTTGAGGCAATACTAACATCATTGTTGATGTAATGCTAACACAAATGTTGACGTAATGGTAAGACCATTGCTGACGTAATGCTAACATCATTGTTGACGTAATGCTAACATCATTGTTGACGTAATGCTAACATCATTGTTGACGTACTGCTAACACCATTGTTGACGTAATGTTAAGGCAAATGTTGACGTAATGCTACCGCCGTTTTTGACGTTATGATAAGACCATTGTTAACGTAATGATAACATTGGTAACATAACCATTGCTGACGTAATGCTAAGGCCATTGCTGACGCCACAGTAGGTGACGACGCCACGCCCTAGCAGGGTAGATGACGTGTAGATGATGCCTCTAGAAGACGCTGCTTATTTCGTATTGTGCCCTGAGAAAAGTGGACATTTTCAATCATAACTAAGTGACACATAAATCTGCCATGAAATAAACATGTTAATTGCAGAAAAGGCGGTCGTCATTTATTAAACAACTATAAACGTTCCTATACAACACTTATTTTACTAAACTCATTCAAATGGTAATACATTTAACTCCATTTATCTGTATATATTAAAGACATCATTCATTATAGATATTCCAATAACACTTACATTATTTAGTTTTCAACTTACACCAACGCCTTCGATAAGTCACTTATCTTTTGGGCATATTGGAAAATAACATGTGATCTTGCGATAGAACTGAACCCGCTTTGAATTATTCATATCAACATACGTTTTGTGTGGAGTATTTAACAACAGTAACGACATGTGGCGGTTGCTAAACACACCGTCTCCGTCTAATTCAGCTAGGCCGTAATTTAATCACAACTTTGTTGGTTCGATGGTGTATAACAAGAAACTTGTTTTATTTCTAATTTCTTTGTGAGTGTACATGAAATGCTTAAATCATACTTACTTCATTTAATAGCAGATAAAAGTGAAGATTATCAGTCAAGCCAAATCAGTGCAGTGAAAAGAGCTAAATCACATAATGAATGTTGGAATCAAAACGATGGACATAGGAGGTGGGAGCACGCAGAAAGAAAATTGCTACAATGCCTTGTGTGTGGGAAATAGGGACAAAAGCAAGACATGTGTTTTGATAGACCATATATGTCAAATTTAAACTAGATGGTGCTGAGGTAAAGGGCCATCATCTGAAAGAATGAGTGAAAAGGGCACGAAAGGTGTTTTGGATACATTTCACGACATTTCTGTGTGTGCTAATGATGAACCTCTGTGGCACTATTCAAGTATGCATCACAATTTTGAGGTTGTACAGAGATTACCTATATGCAAGGTTTTAGCTCAAAATTGTTTGATCTTGTCACAATTAAAAGTCTAGATTGATTTAGACAATTTGGAATTGAGAAAACAAGAAGAGGAAAGGTTTAGCACTGAGACAGAATCTACAAAGAAGACTATGTGTATGGTGTCTACAAAGAAGACTGTGTTTAGGGTGTCTTAAGCTGAGACAGTTGTACCACCTGGACATAAAATGATTAATGCAGGGAAAGTGAAATCTACTTAAGTGGAACACTAGCTCCCAATGGTGTTTTTAAACCGAATTTGGGATTTAGTGTAAAAGAGTTCCACTGTAGGATAATGATGACTTTTCAGTGACATCTGAACTCAATACATTGACCACGTTGAATGGAGATCAGTATCAAATGTCATGTGCTGTAAACACACAAGATTCTCAGACATTAAATGACCGCTTGAAATACATTTTGAAAAGATGCCACTTTGAGAAAGATTGCCAAGGTTAAGAGCATAGAAAATTAATTAATCTTCTTGCGAACTTCGAAGATGTGTTTGCTTTGGGACCTCATGAGTTGGGTAAAACAGATATTATTACTCATCCAATAAACACTGGAAATTCACCACCTATTCGTCAGGCTGCAATATCTTTACCAGCATCAAAGAGGTCAGAAGTAAAGGGACATTTAGAGAAAAGATGCAATCAGTCCGCCCCGCAGTCCATGGGCATCGCCAACAGTTCTGTTTTCCGAGTAAAATAAATCCACGAAGTTTCTATAGATTTTCGAAACATTAATGAGATTTCGAAGAAGGGTGCTTTTTCGATCAGGAACATTTGAAGACACATTTGATTGCTTAGCCGGCAGTCAGTTCTACTCAACCTTGGATTTAATATCAGGCAATTGGCAAGTCGCGATGGACGAACAAGGTTAAGTGAAAACGTCATTTCGAACACTGTATAGCTTGTACCATTTCAATGTAATGTTCTTTGGGCTGACTGGATGTGATTATGTTCTGTAGGAGCACTGATGTACACATGACACGACTTACAACTGTATTGGATGGTCTTCGAGAAGCTAGTTTGGGATTAAACCCTGGAAAGTGTCATTTCATGAAGATGTGCGTTTCATGTCTGGGGCACATTATATCTCAAAATGGTGTTGAAACAGATCCGGAGAAAACTAGAGTTGTTCGTGAATGGCCAACACCTTCAACAGTAAATGAAGTCCTTCGATTCTTGGATTTTGCATCATACCAAGAAACATTTGGCAGAAATTATAGCTCCACTCCTGTATGTGCACTCAGACAAGACAGAGAATAGAAAGTTGATTGTTCATATGGAGGTCTTGTAGAAAAGATTTTGCAGAATGTACACAGCGCTGAAACTGGTGGTCACTTGGAATCTGCAAAGACACTGGAAAAAGATCAAGCAAACGTATTCCTGGCTATGGATGGACACTGAGGTGGAAGAGAGTGTGAGTTTGGTTTTACGCCACTTTTAGCAATATTCCATCAATATCACTGCAGGGGACACTAGAAAGGGGCTTCACACATTGTACCCATGCAGCAAAAAAATCGAACCCGGGTCTATTTTGTGGCCAGATGACGATGACATTGAGACAATGTGTGTTTATCCGTCAGCCAGAGATGAGGAAGTTGTCCAAGTACCTTCCTCATACAAGGAGGAGAAAACCCACATTAGTATGGCCTGAACTATTCTTGTGTTAATAGAGATAGATACATGTGAAGTGTTCATCATAGTGAAGAATGGAACTGTGTTATAATGGAATATGTGTAAATATTTGTATAGTTTGTGATCAGCTTGATTTTGAAGAAGGGCCACAAGAGTTATGCCCCTTTGTAAACAGACAGTTTGTCCATCTCACACAGTGTAGATAGAATGATCATGTATCCTTAGTTACGGTATGTATATCTGTTCCTCGTGATTGTGATGTCATGTACATGTGTTTACTGCTGTCATGGTAATGCCAGTTGGGCTAAGGAGTCAGATATCACGTTTTCAACTACAGTCATCGTTGTTGTGATTGTTGACTAATTATTTAAGATGAGGTGCAACAATGTATTGATAATAGCCAAAAAGGTGGTCTCAACAAAAATGAGAAACTCATTTATGACCTCAATTACAGAACTAAAATGAAAACAAATTGGGACCAGAAGTATATCTGTCAGCTATTTGAGGAGGCAGGTCACATCTCAAGCGACACATGTTTCAGGGCGCGGGTGGCCCAGTCGTCTAAGGCGCCGCAACTCGCTGTGCAGAGTTGCGTCCCTTGGGCACGCCAGAAACCTATGATTGTGGGATCGAATCCCGGTTCGCCCCGAATATGTTTCTAGGTTTGTCAGCACCATACCCGTGCTCGTGGGTTTTAACCGAAGTGGTAAACGTCTGAGACCTGCATCACTTCGGGCTTTCCTCCACATTAAACTGACACCCGTGATATAACTGGAATACTGTTAAAAGTGGGGTTAAATTTTCGGCTTGACGGACACCTGAATGGATTGGAAAGAAGCTGGAGATGGAGTGACCTTTTTGAATACAAGACTTAATATTGCTGTACATATTTTGTACTAGCGTGAGAAATTTACCTGTGATTCCATATTTTAGTAATTTTTACCAAAGCTAATCAATCCAGACATTATAAAACGTCTTTCAAAAATCAGTGAAAGCACAGTAAAGCTTCCGTTTATTATATTTTAAGATATTCATAAGCATGTTGATTTAAAAAAATATTATGGTTGTTGAAAACTGTGGGATACTAGAAGGGACATTGTCGCGATGTTGCATTGTGGTTTGCTTTCCTTCAATGAAAACAAATCGTTCATCGTTGCTTTGGAAAATATTTTATATATCGTGATTGTCTGTGTCGGTTTTCATAAACCAAACGTTTTTTTCTTAGCGAGAAACAAACACTTGGCATTTCTATTTAATTTAATTCCCGCCTCCGACATCTTTTTCAAATGACACACGGTTGGCCCTGTCGATTTAGACGGTGCAGTTCGCCGTGTGTCTCCTGGACGTACCAGAAAACTATGATCGCGCATTCGAATCCCAGCACGATACACATACATCACTTAGGGATCTCCTCCCACATCAAACTTACACGCTCTCCGTAGCCACATGCTGAGGTCATTTGTGTGCTTAGCACTATGCCCATTTAGACATTTCTTATAATCCTTTGTAGTCTATTGGTGTCTGTTTTAAATTTTCTGAGCTGTTTTCCAGCTTTAGTATAGCGTTTACGTAGGAGTTTGCACTCCCTACCAAACCAAGGCTTGTTTGCTTTCTCAGTCCTGCCATGTTGCTTTGGGACCATGTCACAGCACAAGCCGGCTTACCCTCATTTCGCCTACACCTCATTTCGCCTACACCTCATTTCGCCTACACCTCATTTCGCCTACAATAATTCAAATGCTTACTTGCCGGTCCCTGATCCAACAACCATCTGGAAGGGTTCCAGTGTGGACTGAAAAAGAGAATGCCCCGATCTCACCCTAACATCTATCAGTTCTTGAAGGAGATCAAGAAGATTGAAAAGGCAGACAGACGCTCCAGGAAACAAATTGATCTTGGAGGATCATGCAGACCCCGAGCTCGTGTTGACAGACAAAGGGACGAAAGAATTGAAGGCACAGCTTCTTAGTGGAAGAAAAACTGTAATGCAATTTCTTGATGCCGTTGGATATGTACTAAGGCTACAGTAATCATGAGTCATTATTATTATTACTTCAAATGTAAATATCAGCTATTAAACAATGTATGAAGCTTCAAGATTGTGTTGTCTGTTTAACTGCAATGCAATTTCTTGATGCCGTTGGATATGTACTAAAGCTACAGTCATCATGAGTCATTATTATTATTACTGCATAATTTAATATCAGCTATTAAAAAATGTATGAAGCTTCAAGATTGTCTTGTCCGTATAACCTTCTTTTGGGTCAGTTCATTATTTTAGAGGTAACACAGCACTTGACTTATGTGCATTCAGCTGTAAATTTGTTTTGATAAGGGTGTAGGCGAAATGAGGGGATTGCCTAAAAGTCGGGCCAAGAAAAGTCGGGCCGGGCCGGGCCAGCGGGTAATACTAAAAATGGATTGCGGAATAATAAAACGAAACGTGCATATCTAGGCAGATCTCAAATGTCCAGAAACGGATAGTTTTGCTCATTTAATTGAGTTTGAATCGAAATGTATCTTCAGCAATGTAATAAACTGATAATTATAGCTACATACCGAGAGTTCATACCGAAAAGTCAGTGTCTTGACTGTGTCTTTACTTTGATGAGAAGGTTTCTCACCGACCTTAGCGTGCAGGGGTGTGATGTCCTGGGCAGGAATTCGAAATGACAGTGTTTTGACTACTCTTCTTTCATTCATTAACGTGTTTGGCATACCTAATTAACCTTTACCAATTCATGTTAAACCAACACAGGATGTTTTCTGCAAGTTGATATTCGCGAATGTCATAGGACTGACACGATACGTGTTAATAACTGTCAAAGCGCTTCTAAAATTACAACACATACTTAACATCTATAGGTTAATTATAATATCATATCTACCTATATAACACTTTAGTGTCTCATATTGCAGTAGCAAACACGGTGCTCAAAATAGAAGCCCTTTTCCCTCTACATTCTCTCTATCAGAAGTGTTTTGCTTGTGTTGGGTCCGACTTGGCCCTGCCGGTCAAAATCAACTTTAAACACACATATGTATCTTCAAATGTGTTTACATCTATAGGTTAGTGTTATATCTACCTATATACCACTTTATAATGTCGCGGTACATCGTATTTAAAGAAAACAAGGTGCTCAAAGTCAAGCATTTCTACTGTATTTTCTTAAGAAAATCTCTGTCAGAAGTGTTCGGTCCGACTTGGCCCGGGCTCTCAAATCAACTTAAACCTCACAGATGTATCATCAAATTGATTCACATCTATAGATTAGTATTATATCTACCTGAATACCACTTTATAATGTCACGGTACATCGTATTTAAAGAAAACAAGGGGCTCAAAGTGAAGCATTTCTACTGTATTTTCTTAAGAAAATCTATGTCAGAAGTGTTCGGCCCGACTTGGCCCGGGCTCTCAAAATCAGCTTAAACCGCACAGATGTATCATCAAATGGATTCACATCTATATATTAGTATTATATCCACCTAAATACCACTTTATATTGTCTCAGATCGCTGTAATTAAAGAAAACAAGGTGCTCAAAGTGAAGCCCTTTTCCCTCTACATTCTCAACATAGTCTCTATCAGAAGTGTTTTGCTTGTGTTGGGTCCGACTTGGCCCGGGCTCTCAAAATCAACTTTAAACACACAGACGTATCTTCAAATGTGTTTACATCTATAGATTAGTGTTATATCTACCTATATACCACTTTATAATGTCACGGTACATCGTATTTAAAGAAAACAAGGTGCTCAAAGTGAAGCCCTTTTCCCTCTACATTCTCAACATAGTCTCTATCAGAAGTGTTTTGCTTGTGTTGGGTCCGACTTGGCCCGGGCTCTCAAAATCAACTTTAAACACACAGACGTATCTTCAAATGTGTTTACATCTATAGATTAGTGTTATATCTACCTATATACCACTTTATAATGTCACGGTACATCGTATTTAAAGAAAACAAGGTGATGTCAGAAGTGTTCGGTCCGACTTGGCCCGGGCTGTCTAAATCATCTTAAACCTCACAGATGTATCATCAAATGGATTCACATCTATAGATTAGTATTATATCTACCTAAATACCACTTTATAATGTCACGGTACATCGTATTTAAAGAAAACAAGGGGCTCAAAGTGAAGCATTTCTACTGTATTTTCTTAAGAAAATCTCTGTCAGAAGTGTTCGGTCCGACTTGGCCCGGGCTGTCTCAATCATCTTAAACCTCACAGATGTATCATCAAATGGATTCACATCTATAGATTAGTATAATACTCACCTAAATACCACTTTATAGTGTCTCAGATCGATGTAATTAAAGAAAACAAGGTGCTCAAAGTGAAGCCCTTTTCCCTCTACATTCTCAACATAGTCTCTCTCAGAAGTGTTTGGCTTGTGTTGGGTCCGACTTGGCCCGGGCGGTCAAAATCAACCTTAAACACAAAGACGTATCTTCAAATGTGTTTACATATATAGATTAGTGTTATATCTACCTATATACCACTTTATAATGTCACAGTACATCGTATTTAAAGAAAACAAGGGCCTCAAAGTGAAGCATTTTTACTGTATTTTCTTAAGAAAATCTATGTCAGAAGTGTACGGTCCGACTTAGTTTTCTGTATGCTTACACATCATCACGTCATACTGGATTTAATTTAGTTTCCTATTCTAATACTGCTAATCTTTGTCAGTGACCAGTGAAAGTATCACAATGTAAAACTCCAATATATACAAAATATACAATTTGTATATATGGTATATCCAAAAATATACAATTTTGTATCTATGGTATATCCAAAAATATACAATTTTGTATATATGGATAGATTTTACCACTCAGTTCCTTTTTACTGGATTCTCACAATATGTGGTTGATATTGAAAATATTACAAATAATACCGGACAGTACTATTGCATGTGACAAATATACTTTAAAACTATGTTCATTATGACAACTATATTTGGAGTGTTTTACATAATAAAGAAATAGAAGATTTCAGCAGACTTTTGTAACTGTTAGAAATATAATACGTCCGCCTACTGTTTACAAATAAGATGATCTATACATACAAGTAGTTCAGAGTAGTTTTAAACAGTGACGGTAAAATAAATTTATTCTGAATAGCGGCAAATATGAATATATACAATTTAATATATATGTTTCTGTTATGCCATGGTATGTTGATTCTGAATCTAAAATATTGCTTGATATTGTTTGCCAAACAGTTGTATGCACTGTCCATCGTGATACTTCTACTTAAGTATATAAAAAAGGATGTTTGTTTAGACATGCGTTCATTGTAAACAACGGCGCCGTGTTTCGTTTGCTGGTT